TTAACCCCCGTATCTTGCCCACTCGATGTGGTGAATCACGCCATATCGAGTTAAGTCATATCAAGTGGAGCTTGCTCTGTATGTATGTATGTATGTATGTATGTATGTATGTATGTATGTATGTATGTATGTATGTATGTATGTATGTATGTATTTATGTATGTATGTATGTATGTATGTCCACTTAAGCTCAACCGGGACTACACTAGAACATGCCTCTCCAATGCGACAGAGCGGATGGATGGATGTGGATGGATGTATCCGGCTGTGCCCTATAGATCGGGTGGTGGCTCATGCCACCTATCCATAAGTGCAGCGAGCGCTGCAGCGCCATCTAGTGAGCACTCCGAGTATTAGGGGTGGCTACTATGCCCACGCAGACAAGCCTGCACCCTAAGGAGCTTCACTCCTAAAATATTACACAATCTCCCGCTAAAGGCCACCATATGATGCGGACCAGTGGGTGCTAACTCTTACACTGACGGCGACGTTGACGCTGGAGCTCATCGTGGTGTTGCGCAGGAGAAAAACCTGGGGAGGCGCAAAGCACGAAGTGATGAACCGGTGTTACTACTGAAAAATGCCAATGGCTGCTTTCACGGGCAGTGAAAGACAGAAGACTCCGTTTGCGCACAAAGACCCGCAGTTCGCTTTTGATTAACGCACACGCTGCGAATTTTCATTGTTGAATAACGCACAAGACAAATATCCCACCAGCACTGCCTTCAAGGTCAAGATCCAGTGGTCAGTGAACGGTGCCACTGCGCGAGCAGTCGGTCTCTTCAAGCAAGAAACTCGCTAGCAGACGCTGCCTTCGTCGGCGTTGCGAGGCGAGAGAAAGAGAGCGTAAGGGGGAGAGAGAGGGAGAGACACGCGTGTGCAAAGGGGCAGAAAATACCGTAGGTAAGAGAGAGAGAGAGAAGGGGGAGTGAGCGTAGTTTTAGCAGTAGTAGTAGTAGTAAACATTTATTTAAAAAAACAGAGGTTGCCAAGAAGACCAGCCTCTAGTGGGTCAGCCTCCCTGCAGTACTAGGTGGAGTCTCTAGTCAGGGACCCCATTGGTCGTGGCCGCTGTCCTGCACTCTGGACCATGGCTCGTTGGGCCGTAAGGTCCTGGCAACCGGGCAGACCACCTCCCAGTCCTCTCTTGTTGTATTTGTGTTCGGGGTACAGAAGGATTGAGCTGGCATGCCCATACCATGTGGTAGGTGTAAGCCACCTCCGCACAGTACTGGCAGAGGCCGGAAAAAGAAGAGTCGAAGTGTTAAAGCACTGCCAGGCACAGTAAAGTATTGGTAAATAGCCGGAGAAGAATTCTCTCGTCCGCCTTCTTGAGTCCTCTGCAGGGCGGAGGAAAACGGCGGTGGGAGTCCCGCTAATGGGTAGTTATCTCTCTATAAGTTAGGAGAGGAGCGTTTTCTTCTGGAACACAGGGGTCATTGGTGGGCGAGGCAGTGGCCAGGGGAAGGAGTGTGCGGGCGGCAGCGTGCGCCACCTCATTGCCTGCGAGGCCCTGGTGGCCAGGAGTCCAGATTATTGAACGCAGAGAGGGGTAACCTACTCGCGGACAAGATTTAAGAATTTTGGCAGCTAGGGGTGTGATCCATTCCAGTTTGTAGCATGTGCAGATGGTTGGTAGCGTGTGCCGGCAAGCTCCTTTGGAGTCTGATAATATAATTTGAGAACTGTCGTGTGATATAGCCACAGCTATGGCCACCTCTTCAGCATGGGTAGCATTGGTTGTGCGGAAGGACTGCGTTGGCGTTGAGAGGCCACATAAGGGAGAGCGTAGGAGAGGATATAGAAAGGGGTAGCAGACGTGCATGCGTAGTAAGGGTGGTCACGCCGCACACCTGATTAAGCTCGACCCTAAGCTGCTTCGCATCTAAAATGTTTACGTTCCGGTGCAGCGATGATGGTAGACATTTTTAATTCTACGTACGTAGAGGCTGTGCGCGTAGGAAAAGATAGTTTAGTTTGCGGGATAACTTTCTGCCGTTGTATACAGACTGTGCCAGCCACGTTACTGCACTTTCATAAAAGGACGCCCTCGTCGGAGCCATATTTCTCCACAAAATATTCTTCAGATGATCGGAGAATACTTGTTTGTACAATGCTACATCTAAATAAAACAAATTCATGTTTATATAATGTATTCTCACCTTGCCGTGTATTCCTAATCAATTTTCTGTGCTACATTTAGGTGCGAACCGATTCGTAGTTGTCAGCAGCCTATTGACATTATCTTCATTTCAATATATACGGTGGTCAATGGCAGGTAAAGGATGGCGATGCATTCTCATGGGTCGCGCGCTCTTTCATTTCGCTGTAAATGTTTCGATCCGCTGCCAGCCGACACACTCAGTGTCGTTCAGCTTGTTTTGACTCTTTCAAATGCTTTCGCGAAGCGCATTCAGCTGACTTCGGGGCAACTAAGGTTCAGGTTCCTTCAGCGTGAACTGGATTAACAGCCATTTCAGGACCCAATAATATACCATCAGTGAGCAAAGCCTGTTGCTTCAGTTTTTAAAGACGACAGTCTTTCTTGGGATACTGTTTAGAAAAAGTTAATTTACACTACGTACAAAAACGAAGAAATCATTACCCTTTATTATTAACGGACACACAGGAATCGGTACATCTACGTGCCACGACATACGTGACTATATGTTGTAGTGAAGAAATCATTACTTCAAATTACATGGCTGACGCGGCATATGCATGTACAAAAGAACACAATGGGACACGAATGATCGCACTCCCTGTCCCCGAAAATCAGCATGCATGGACCGCACACCAGAAAAGGCGGCCGAACACACATTGAATTGTCGCATGTCTATTGATCTCAACTACGACGCCGTTCAGCATTGCGGGAGCTTCCACTCCAGCAATTTTTAGGGGTGAAGCTCCTTAAAGCGGCACCTGTTCGTCCCTCGTCGTAGTGCGTATACATGTCTTACGCTTTGAGCTGTAAGGTGGTGCCGGTGGGAGATTTCTCCTGTGCGTTGTTGAATAATAAAAAATTCGCAGCGTGCGCGTTAACTAAAAGTCGAATTCTCCTGTCTCTCATTCCCCATTAGCAGCCATTGGCATGTACATTGAGCACTATCTGACAAGAAAGGGTTGCTACGTTATACTCGCTGGGCGTAACCTCCTTGGTTTTAGAAAGGTTTAGCGAGCGTTGGGCCGCAGTGCCATGAATAGAGTGAACTAGAGTGAATATACCATAAACTCGAAGGTGGTTAAAGGTGGGAAGTAGACCCGAAGCGCAAGCCGGAAGAAAGTGTGCGTGTGCCACCTCTCGTTCAGTCCTTGGAATGTCCGCTGGATGGCGGTGCTTCTATATGCGGAATATATGATGAAAAGATGCGAGATGGTGGTACTTGGAGTGTTGACTAGATGAACGAACGGACACACAGACAGATGCATGGACGGACGCACGGATGGCTGCATGGACGGATGGACGCTTGGGCGGACGCAGGGGCGGATGTATGGACGAACGCAGGGATGGACGCACGGATGCACGTGCAGACGCACGCACGGGCCGGCGGATGGACGCACGGGACGGTCACACAGACGGATGCATGGACGGACGGAAGCAAGAACGAATGGACGGACGGATGCTTCGCCCCACTCTCCATCATTAACCCCGTGGATATGCTGCCATTTTTTTTACCCCATTTCTATGCAACAGCACATGAGTTACAATGTATGCGGCTACCGAATACTAAGCGCGTGCAATTTCAGAATTATCGAATGAGCACTTTCCAAACGGCATTGCAGCAAGGCCCGCGGTACGTGTGTTCTTCGACTCAGCAACGTACCTCTAACGTTTTTTTCGACGGCACGTCTCGACTTGTTAATTTTGCGTTGATAGCTTGGGCGTACTATGAAAACAGCACTCTTTTTTATCGCGACAACCTGAGTGTCGTGAATAATCGACCCGAAATCGTCAACGCCAGGTTGCTACTTGAACACGTGCGCTTGTCGTGATGATTCTTTAACAAACAAAAAAAGCGACCACAATGTCAATAAAAACGGGTGCACCTTCCGCTTATCGCCAGAGGCGGATGCTCGAGCCGAACCGAACTCACGCCATGCCATGCTTTCACATGTGCAAGATGTTTATTTTCGTTTTTTTCTTTGTGTTGCTTCTACGCGGAAGTTCGAGCTCGTCGGTCGTACATCTGTTTGTTATCCGACCCAACGATCAGAAACAACATTTTGACTAAAACGACGACACGAATCGAAACATGCATCGGTGCGTGTGCTTCCTTCGTTCCATAAACTTTGCATTGCGACGTTCCGAGCGGAACCAGGTGATCTGCTAGCGATTATACGTTTACGTTAAGCTTTAAAACTCATGCCAAGGAAACCCGAGAGTCATCTTAAACACCAATGCGCGCTCTAAGGTTGCAACTGGACAATGGCGTACGTATTCGCTCGTCCCCATTCACGTTTCACCTATTACTTCGAGAGTTGTTCGAAATTTTAACCCTAGTGCGTACTCCCAGAACCCCACAAGGCCAGCTATAACAAGACATACTAACCAATTACGCGTTTACACGTGCTGCTTCAGGAATGATTCGAAATTCTACTCACCTCCTGCCTAATGTGCTCCGCCACTCCTTGGGCACTATTGCGGGAACATCTCGTGCGTGGCCGCTGCATTCTGTTTCAGCCAGTTGAAGCTGGCAGCTAGGCTATTACAGTGCTCAGCAGCTAGGCTACAGCAGCTAGGCTATTACAGTGCTTAATAGCCTAGCTGGCAGCTAGGCTATTACAGTATCACGAATCGTTGCCGTGCTTTGACGGCGTACTGCGAAGGATAACAATATCTTGTGTACTGACCACATACGCTGCATACACAGCCGCAGATCCCCACTCACCGACACGTCGGTGAAACATGGCAGACGCTAGACGGCGCTGCGGAGGAACAAATGACCACCTCATTGTGAAATTGTTTTATATATACTAACGCAGAAACGGAGAATAAGTGACTTCAGAATAAAAATGCAAATTTATTTACAAATCAATTAGAAGTAGTCACTATAACACGCATAAATCGGCGTATTATGTGATTACTTTCGCTAAAACATAATGTTGAGTACACTACAATGATGTTATGTCAATGAAGAGTTTACTGAGTCTTTCATGGGTGGCGCATGAAAAGGATAAAACAGCTTATGGGTCTAGACATGCCAAAGCCTTAGTGGCTTGCGTCAGAGTCCGGCAGGCAACAAAATAAACCGAACACCACCTTACACACTAATAATACCGCAAGCATCAAAATAGATCATAGTGAAAGGGCACACATAACATAACACAAATACTCATACATTTCCTCTGACACGGCATATAAAAAGTTAGGATCACTATAAAAATCCTTACATAAGGACGCTGTCCAAAAAAAAGAGTTAAAACATTGAACCACAGCGATGTCTCTAAAAGAGAATTGCCATTCTCGTGAATCTTGCAGCAAGAGGCTTTCACAGAATTACATCGGTAAGAACGTCGAAAGGCACTTTATCGAAGAATAACCCGTAAGAGTTCCTTTGATTTTTACTGTCCTTTTATGCGTAGAATGCTGGGCAGCAGTTCAATGAAGTACGTTGGAACGCGATAGGCGTGCGTTGTAGTTTTCTACCTCGCTCGACAACAGTGGCCTTCGATAACTGACTGCGAACATTCAACGAAAAAAAAGGAGTTCGGATCACTATAGGATTCTTACAAAGTGACTTCGTCCAAAAAAACAATTAAAGTATGAAAGCGCAGCGATGTCTGTTAAATAGAATTACCACTCTCGGGAATCTTGCAACAACAGAATTTCAGAGGATGGCATACATAAGAACAGCGAAACACATTTTATGGAAGAATATGTCGTAGAAGCTTCCTTAATTTTCGCTGTACTTTTATGCATAAAAAACTGGGTGGTACTTCAATGAAGTACGTTGGAACACACGCAATAGACGTGTGTTGTAGTTTTCTACCTTGTTGGACAACGTGGCCTTCGATAATTGACTGTAAACATTTCACCACGGGGAAGGGAATACGTAACAGGAAATTCCATTGACTAGAAAAGTTTAAAAAGCTGTTTTTATGAAGAAATTATCAATTTTTCGCATTGATAGTACATTTAAACAGTGTCTACCAGACTTTAGGTCCAGGTCGTATATTTGCTTCTAACCCTGGATTTTTTTCTATTTGGATCGGAGAGTTTCGGACCTCTTCAAAAGGGTTCCACTCAGTCTAGACACTGCCCTCGCACCGGTGTAACAATGCACGGGTATGTGTTGGTACCAAAAATAACGGTGTCGCCCGGACTGACTTGCGCGGCCGCAAATGCCTCTAGCAAGCCTTTCCTGGCGCAAACGCGGTGAGATGGAGAGAGAAGTGCAACGCTGTCGGAGACCACCGCCCTCTCACCGGCGTTGACGAGTTTTCAGGCTCCTTGACATCGCATTCCAAGGATTAAGAGAAATCTGTTTGTGGCGCCATCTCTCGGAGGCAGCAACGTGTCCAACAGTAACGGAACCGGTACTATGGCATCATCACTCTTCGTATTGAGCAGCTACGTTTTGCGTCCACAGCGGATACGGTAGTTACGGTGTTTGCAAGTACAGATGAGCGAAAAGCGTTAACAAATACCTCAACTACATTCAATCAGTTTCTTTCCTTTGTTACTAAGCAACCAGTAGCTCTCGTGTAGCTTTTTCAACAGTCCTGTTTGCTCCGAGAATGGTACATTCACTCTAAAATACGTAGCTGGCCTACAAAAATAGTATTGCAAAAGCTTCCCTTGCCAGCTATCCAGCTCACGCTACCAGATATGCTACAGCAGAAATACTCCCTTCACTATCTGACGAGGGGGGCTGGAATTCGGAAACGAGGCACTAATTCATTTAAACGGTAGAATGAGGTGGCGTAACATGAGTTATGAAGTATTTGTAAATAACTTGAGCTGTGCTAAAGTGAAACTGTTTCGCTGTTCGCATCCTGGAGGTGAACGCATGGCGGCTTGTCGAAAGACAACGCCATTTGGAGGTCTTTGACTTGATGGTGCCACGGGGTGGAGGAAGGGGGATTCATGGTGAAGGCTGCACACGAAGTTGAACGTGCAAGTGGTAAATAGCTTGCCTTGGAAGTTGATGTTGCAGCCTCTAGCCACCCTGAAATCAGCAGTGAGGAAATTAAGCAATTAAAGAAGGCCTAAAAAGCCACAGTGCAATAATTAATAGAATTTAGCATTCTTGTATACTAACAAGATCATGTTCTCTGAGACACTATGCATTAGATCAAACACAACTACCAAGAGTCAGGAAAAGCCAAGTTCATGTGTACTACCCATACAGGCCAGAAAGATTTGCTTCTTCAATTCATCATACAACCTTCCTCCTATACATCAAAATCAAAATGAAGGAGGCGCTTTGATGAAGAACTCAAATCTAAACTTTTAGAAGAGACGAATCCTAAACTCTTAGAAGAGATCAATGTCCCTTTCGCCGTTCGTCTCAAAGCTTAATACAGCAAATGATTTGCTAGACCTCTTTTCACGCAATCATTGTCCAATAAAAAAATTCGGAGCAATACTGCTCACGCAACTTTCCTATCTAGTAAAAATAAGCACTTACAGACCTAAAAGAATTGGCAAGTTCATGCAGGCTGAAGATTTCGTGAAAACTACCGGAAACCACACAGATTACAAGTGAAGAGTTAACTTACCTTTAAAGAAGGTGGTTACTGTGTGTTGAGCTATTTTCAACATTCGCACTATCATGATTCAAAGAATAGCACTGAGAGCCTGAACTGTCAACATGCTTCCATTCAACTGCATCTTAGTTGCCAGTACCGAAAGTTGAATAAGATAGAAGATGGGAACAAAAAGCTGCCATATTTGGCAGAAGTATTCTACCACTATATTTTGCTGTAGTGTTGCTAGCAGCTGCTGGCCTTAAAACAAGCCAAACGCAATTTTTAATAATAATTTCAGTTTTGCCGCGGTTCCAAAATGCTTAAAAGCAAACTTCACTTGTGCAAACTTTTTTCTGTTTTAACAGTTCTTTATCAAGTCTCTTTGTAACAATGCGCAGTATGTCTCGCACGTTTTTGAAGTATATGGCTTGTAAAGGAAAATGCAAGGGGACAGGAAACCGATTAGCAAGATTAGAAGTTAGAAAGAGGCAAATGAGTGCCTCTAAAAGTGCCTTGATAGAGTTTGTAGTGTGTGCTGAAACTACAAATACAATGTTTTCTGACAACTTGCAAGCACCTCCAATTTAGCCTTCCTTCAGAGTCACTTGGCCCATTCACTGCCTTTCCTCTGGGCTGTCGGCCGTTCAATCAGTAGCGCCTGCATACTACCACGCCGGGTGTATATTTCTACACTGTTGCCAACCTGTGTACTACAAGATGCACTTGGTACTGCAACTTTTTTTTCTTTCTACATGCACAGAAAAGCCTGTTGTGCACTACTTTCGCACAGTTTTTGTATTCATTTGTATGGCACGTCATATTTGGGATTGTGGACTATTATTCATGCTTCTTGCTGTGGAGAATTGATGCATTTTCATTACACACAATTATACTGATGTATCAACTGATCAATATTTTTTTCTACTTCCTGCATGTTCTTATGTCTATTCTGCCATCCAACCCTGCCCAAAGCCTGGCAGTATTTTCCTAAATAAATAAATAAATAAATAAGCAATATCTGGGAGGTTAGTGTGGTTGATACCTTGCTCTTGAGAGCTGCCCCTGGACTAGTGGTGGGGGTGGCTCGAGTCCTCCAGAGAACGGAACAAGTGCCCATTGTTTGTGCCGGCTGCCGCGGATGAAGAGGAGGCCGACGAGTGCTTGTACTGGCTATCCATCAGTGATGGTGGAGGCTGGTGCGGCTGCTGCTCGTGATGATGGTGAGAGTGGCGTCTGCTGGCATGGCGTGAGGGCTGGCTTGAGCTACTGTCGTTAGAGGGACCCTGCTGCTCATTGAGACTTCTGGACCGGCTAGCAGAATGCACGCTGTCCACCGCTGCTAGCAACAAAACTGGTGCTCTTGCTCAAACTGCTTCTGTGGTTTTGCTGCTTAGCCAGCCAGCTGCTGTTTTTATTGCTGGTGCTACTCCTCGTTTCTCCGGGATCTGTGTGCAGATAGACCAAAGCCCACATCCTTTACAACAGAGACCCCTTAGGCACTGTTAACTGTTTTCTTACCCCTCCCCATGTCTCGCAATTCGAGCTTTCAGTCAGTGATGATGACTGGCCCAGTATTACGTCTTACCAGTCCTCATCACTGACTGGTACGATGTTATTTTATACGAGGTCACTAACAATTGCCTTACCAATAACATTCATGCCTTCGGTTTTGCACCATACTTTACTAGTGTAAATATTTGAAGAATAAAGCAAAATAAATCACAAGGGGCAGGTAAAAAAATTTTTGCACTGCTATACACCTGTTCCCCAGTACTATCTCCAAATATACCTCTTGATAAGGTTATAAAAATGAACAATGCAATGTGGACAAAGTAGGTCCACATTTTTTAAGACACGTCTTAACGAAGCAACTCTATATAGGGTCTTGTCTTACAGGCAGCCATCATTAACTTGCGGATAGTTTCTTGTATTTCATGCGCAGAATGTTATAATATTTAAATTTGCATGTAGTCGGAAATAATTATCTATTAGAAAAACTATACTACTGCATACAGAAATATTTATTGCAGCAACACTGGCTTGATCAATGTACTAATACCATGTCTAAGTATAAAAATGGTGTCTTGCAATATGGCACCTTTATATCGAGGTCACATGTGCTTATATGTAAGTGCGCGTATTAATTTGTATAATCACTTTCTCATAAATATTCAATTAGTGCATTTTCCGCATCATAATTGGATGCTAGAACCTTTGCTTCGATGTTTTCTTAGCCTTTGTTACAAAGTTTCTTTCTAATATTCAAAATCTACCACAATACTGATTTTCTATGTGATCAACTTCTATGCCGAGTGCTACCAGATAAAAAACGAAGCATTGTGCTCACTCGCCTAATAATTTTGCACTGTGAGTTTTAGTGAGGCGGCAGTACTATACCATATAGAGTGACGGTAACATCTGAAGCCAACGTATATTCACAGAAAGAGAGAAATGGTACCTTATTCAGTCACAAAGCTAAAATACAGTTAAAATATATCTTGATAATGTGACAATTCATCATTTCTGCAAACTCGTTACAGTGTAATGCCAATTCGTTCTACACTAGCATTTCTTACCAAAAAGTGAAACAAATACCTCTGCAGATACAGTTCAATATTCACATAATGAATGTGAATATAATAATTTTTTATAACAAAGCATGTTGTCCACAATAATAATGTAGCAGTTTCAATGCTTCCTCAAAGAAAGACTAAGGTGGTAAACAAACTTGGGCCAGAAGCCCTAAGGCCAAATAAACGATATTTTAGTGCTTATCCTAAACCAAAACAATGCCTTGGACCATCATGTTGTTGCGTGTTCATGCATGACGTTAGGGCGGCCTTAAATGTACTCCTTCGCTAGCACAGCATCAAGCTGTTGCCAGCACACTTCTCGTTCAATAAAGATTATTTATTGCGTGCTTTACCTTTTTCACTGCCGTATTATTGAAGCAATCGTTTGAAAGAAGTAGGATTCATTAGGCGAAACTAATATGTCCACTTTCGCCTGCTAATAGTGAGTGGTGTCAAGCAACACCTACCAGAGGTGTTGGCCAGCCCGCGTGGATGCCTTGCTGCTGCTAACGGCAGCTGGCGCGCGAGTCTGCACGGCCGCACTGATTCCCGGAATGCCGAACAGGTACTTGGGGTCGCGCGACCGCCGCTGCCTCTCCTTGTAGTCATCCATGGTGATCTTGGCGCGCCGCGACGTCTCGGCTTCTTGGCCTGGGTTCCCCTGCAAGCGCAATCCCATTTAGCTTCACACGACGTCTGTGTCCACAGAGAGATCATTTTCCTCAGATGGAGTCCAAGACCACCGATCGATTCCCCGTCATTTCTGAAAAGCGAACAGTTGCTGCCACTCTACTTCAGTAATTACAGATTTGCTGCGGAATATGCTTCTCACGATAGGTAAGGTATCGCTTTACACGTCTAGCCAGTTAGTATGTGGTAGATCAAGGGGTGGCCACCTCCACCCCACTGGCAGCATGCAGGGAATCGAACCCTCCTGACCCCTTTTCCTTGAAAAGTCTCACGCAAGGCCGACAGGGCACTGATTACATAAAATGAGATTATCGCTTGTAACCTATGTTTGATTGAAACGTTGTCGTTTGCATACTGAGAATATCACATACATATCATGACACATGAATCGCATACCCAGCCTTCACATACGTATTATGATGCATGGAGAAGTGGATGGTTTATAAATCAGGTATATCAGTGACAAGTAGTGGCACTTGTCACTTTTATCATTGTGCAGCTCTTGTTTGCGGGTTATGACGCAACGAGAAATATTGCCGTTTGAAATACGGCCACTATTAGTATATCGGTGTCCGATCTCCGCTTGTGCGTCATCAGCTACTGCTGACATGTGTAACATTTTTTTTTCTTCTTACAAAAGGGTTAAGAAGAAGAAGAAGAAGAAGAAGAAGAAGAAGAAGAAGAAGAAGAAGAAGAAGAAGAAGAAGAAGAAGAAGAAGAAAAAAGAAGAAAAAAGAAGAAGAAGAAGAAAAAAGAAGAAAAAAGAAGAAAAAAGAAGAAAAAAGAAGAAGAAGAAGAAAAAAGAAGAAGAAGAAGAAGAAAGAAGAAAGAAGAAGAAGAAAGAAGAAGAAAAAAGAAGAAGAAGAAAGAAGAAGAAGAAGAAGAAGAAGAAGAAGAAGAAGAAGAACTGTCGGACATAAACGTCCCAAAACCAACATATCTTTGTGACGGACGCCGTAGTGGAGGGCTCCAGAAATTTCGGCCACGGGTAGCATAATGTCTCGTAAACAGACACTTCTGCGGCACGTCACTAAGGTATTCTGTAGAAAACCACACTTTGATGATTGATATGTGGGGTATAACCAACACCTTCTAAAAATTCTTCTGGTCTGTGCCCTCCACCGTGACGTCACCACCAGCCGTCCTACCAGTCCAACACCTCCTAACCCGAATTCCCACTCGCTGCAGTGGTGACGGCCGTGCTGCACGTGTGTTTTTCGCGAGTCTGCCAAGCCATTTTTTGGCGTTGTGTGCAGTGAATTTTACTGCCGGAATTTTATTGCACGAAGAAGAAGGAAAGAAGAAAGTTTAAGCGGAAAGACAGGGAGGTTAGCCAGTTCTTAGACCGGCTGGCTTCCCTGTGCTGGGGAAAGGGGGGAGGGGAATGAAAGATGGTAAAAAGAAATGTTGCGAAATGAGCGAGAAATTACAAAAAAAATTGCGACAGAGGAAAGGCCACATCAAAGAGTATAAGACACTAAAGTCTGTCTCTGAGGCCAGTTGTCCGCAAAAAGCGTAGCAAAGCTTTCAAAGCCTTCTGGGCTGAGGATGGGCTCGGCCAATCACCCAGAATCCTTTGTTCCGACAAAGGCCGATCGTCTAGTGTATCCAGAGGTGCAGTGAGATCTTGTCTTTGCGCGTTGGAATTGGTGCACTCACACAGAAGGTGCGCGATGGTTTCTTCGCAGCGGCAGTAAGTGCATGTAGGAGAGCTGGCCATTCCATCGAGATAAGAGTATGCGTTCGAAGGCCACTCCAAGCCACAGGCACGAAGCTTCTGACATGCACAATAAGTGTTGTGTGCCGGCATGTTCAAGTAATTACAAGACCGGGAAAAAAAGTTCAAGTACAGTTAAACCTCGTTATAACGAGACGGGCTATAACGAAATAATGGATATAACGAGCAAATTCTAATTCCCCTTGAAAGTCCCCATACAAACCAATGTATTCAAAACCTCGTTTTAACGAGGCAAAATTTGCCTGTTATGGGATATAACGAACAAATTTTGGTGGGGAGTAAAATTTTGAGCCGATGTCACGACAGTGCACAACGCGAATTTGCAACGCGAGAACTGTATTTAGCAGTTCAAAACTCCCGCCACGAGCCCTCCAGCAACGCGCGCAAAGCAGACGGCACCTAGCATGACATTGTGTAATGCTCACAACAGTAACACCGCCCACTTCCTTTTCCTTACCCTTATATTTGATCTACCGCATGTACCATACCTTGTTGGGGTCCCTGAAGGTGTGACGTTCCCCCGAATCTCCTCCGCCCAGACCCCAACGAAGTCGTTCCCGCTCTCGAACGGTGTCATGCTCCACGCTGCGCAAAGAGCAGGAAGGTGGCACTGTTAGAGACACTGTTCCGAAATACTCAGCATGAAAGGGACAATAAAGGCAAATATTAAGTCGATGTTGATTGCTGAAAAAGCGGTCCAGAAACTTCGTAGCGCTACTTTTGTGCTAAGGAACTGCTTATTTTCAAGTGAAATCATGTTCTACTGGTCCGCATCGCGTTAACACACGTCAAGTTACCCGCCTCAAGTGGAACCTTTCACGTCACTGTTGCCATGAAGGGAGGAATAAACTGAGGAGAGACGTCACATTTCGTGAAGCCGGAAGTAGTTAAGAATAAAGTACACTACGGCGGCTCGCGCATGCGCAACGGGCGTTAGCGAGAGGGAGGCGAGCCGGTTTCGGACGCGCCGGGCGACGCCGCTGCTGCCATCTGATAGCCGAGCTGGGAAAGTGAAACTTTTTGTGCTGATTACGACCAAACGTCGTACTTGAACTGGTATAGCGCATTACGGGGAAGAAGACACGGCCGAGCAGACCGACACAAGAGGACAGAGCGCCGCACGACGCCGCTGCTGCCATCTGATAGCCGAGCTGGGAAAGTGAAACTTTTTGTGCTGATTACGACCAAACGTCGTACTTGAACTGGTATAGCGCATTACGGGGAAGAAGAAACGGCCGAGCAGACCGACACAAGAGGACAGAGCGCCGCACGACGCCGCTGCTGCCATCTGATAGCCGAGCTGGGAAAGTGAAACTTTTGTGCTGATTACGACCAAACGTCGTACTTGAACTGGTATAGCGCATTACGGGGAAGAAGACACGGCCGAGCAAGACCGACACGACACAAGAGGACAGAGCGCCGCACGACGCCGCTGCTGCCATCTGATAGCCGAGCTGGGAAAGTGAAACTTTTTGTGCTGATTACGACCAAACGTCGTACTTGAACTGGTATAGCGCATTACGGGGAAGAAGACACGGCCGAGCAGACCGACACAAGAGGACAGAGCGCCGCACGACGCCGCTGCTGCCATCTGATAGCCGAGCTGGAAAGTGAAACTTTTTGTGCTGATTACGACCAAACGTCGTACTTGAACTGGTATAGCGCATTACGGGGAAGAAGACATGGCCGAGCAGACCGACACAAGAGGACAGAGCGCCGCCGACGCCGCTGCTGCATCTGATAGCCGAGCTGGGAAAGTGAAACTTTTTGTGCTGATTACGACCAAACGTCGTACTTGAACTGGTATAGCGCATTACGGGGAAGAAGACACGGCCGAGCAGACCGACACAAGAGGACAGAGCGCCGCACGACGCCGCTGCTGCCATCTGATAGCCGAGCTGGGAAAGTGAAACTTTTTGTGCTGATTACGACCAAACGTCGTACTTGAACTGGTATAGCGCATTACGGGGAAGAAGACACGGCCGAGCAGACCGACACAAGAGGACAGAGCGCCGCACGACGCCGCTGCTGCCATCTGATAGCCGAGCTGGGAAAGTGAAACTTTTTGTGCTGATTACGACCAAACGTCGTACTTGAACTGGTATAGCGCATTACGGGGAAGAAGACATGGCCGAGCAGACCGACACAAGAGGACAGAGCGCCGCACGACGCCGCTGCTGCCATCTGATAGCCGAGCTGGGAAAGTGAAACTTTTTGTGCTGATTACGACCAAACGTCGTACTTGAACTGGTATAGCGCATTACGGGGAAGAAGACACGGCCGAGCAGACCGACACAAGAGGACAGAGCGCCGCACGACGCCGCTGCTGCCATCTGATAGCCGAGCTGGGAAAGTGAAACTTTTTGTGCTGATTACGACCAAACGTCGTACTTGAACTGGTATAGCGCATTACGGGGAAGAAGACACGGCCGAGCAGACCGACACAAGAGGACAGAGCGCCGCACGACGCCGCTGCTGCCATCTGATAGCCGAGCTGGGAAAGTGAAACTTTTTGTGCTGATTACGACCAAACGTCGTACTTGAACTGGTAAAGCACATTACGGGGAAGAATACACGAAGCTGCAGCATCAACCGATTTCAGAGGAGTGGTCGCAAGCTTCGAAAATGACCGCTTTTGACCACAAGCGATATAAGCTAAACTCGCAACCGGGAAGACCAACGCTCACTGTGGGCTTCTAACACATCGCATCATCTTCCAAGTGCAACAGCTGCATAAAAATGCACATTCGGAACTCCAGCCGGCTATGAACAACGCGGCCATATGAGTGGTGATGCAGAGGACACGAGACGCCGGCGCGCCCCCCTTGTGCCATAACCCACCCCCCCCCTGTAGAAGCACGTGACTTCCGCCACACTTCTCACTCTTCTTATATTTACTTCTTCCATGCCTCATATCATGACCCCATACTGTTGCAGTGCACAACGTTGCCCGGTTTTACTGCGTGGCCGCCGACACAAGCAGCACCAGAACGAAATTAGCGGGAGCCACAGCAGCAACAACGGCCATTGAACAACTTCCTGTCATGAACTCTGAGATGGCAGGTGTGCTTGGTTCAACTGGGCCCCGCTAGATGGCCCGACCTGTCCAGTTTAACTGGGCAGAAATAGAACTTTTGAACCACTCGTGCCATTCCCCATAGTAACGTCCGGCGGACCTTCTTTTGCATGAATCAAACAGAAGCGAACCAACAGCATTTTAGCACGTCTCTTTATGCGCGGAAGGTTTGTTATTTAGTACAGCTAGTTCGATTACTAGTGAATAATTGTAGGCGGGAAGTATGACGTCATCGGGATCATTTGGAGAATGCTCTACTCGTGGTGCATGTGTTCTCGTGCATTTACATTAATTTCTCGGTAACTAGGGCACTACTAGTAATAATATTGTCGTTTTAGACGTTGTCAACATTGAGCTTTGACTCTGACTTAAATTGTTATTTGACTTTAGCGTCCCTTTAAGCTATGCATGCCAACGACACTATCTGATCACAAAGCAATGGGGACTCCACGTTTAACGTGAAAACTTGTGACGGCAAGGGTCAATCAGCACCAAAGTGTCATAATGTTTAGGGAAACGTCTCATATAGACCACCTTTTTCTCCCCCAAGAACTCTTTCGGCAGGAATGAGCAGAAAACAACACACATAATACAAAAGCTTACATAATATAATGGTCACAAGATCTTAAAAAAACAGCAGGCATAAAAAGGGTGTGTTCGGTAACCTTGAAAGGTGGTTTTTGTTTCAACACTCTGAGCATTATGATGCAAACCTGTACAGAGATGCCCGCCTCCAACCATGTTGAGGCAAAACCCATTTAAATTGGCACGAAAAGCACTATACAAGTACGTCTTTATTTATCACGTCTACTTTAAAACCATGCGTGCGCAACGTGCTCACACATGTAAAAGCACGTCGAAGTTTTCATTTCCTGCATCATTTCACCGTGTTTATTCTGGGTCATTTGTTCATTGCTTAGCTCAGATGAATTGTTTTCGCGGTGACACTGCCCCGACACTACATCGGGCAGGTGGGAGGCGGCCCTACGCAGCTCCCTCCTGGCCGACCAACTTTGGGCCACAATAAAGAGGTTTGAGAGGCCTTGAAGGACCACAATAAAAGAGGTTTTTCGTTTGACGTTTTTACGCTCCGCTTAGCAGCTAAGCGGAGCGGCTTCTTACGAGCAGCCTAAAGTGCGAGACAGACGTGCGATTTTCTCTGCGATTCGGCGTGTGGTGTGACTGCCGGAGTGGTGACGTTTCGAGACGTTTTGTGACGTATCTTCGCGTCGCACCACCGCATAGCCGGTGCGGCGAGCATCAAACCGGCCAGATATTTTTGTCGCAGCACCACACCGCCGCATGGCAGCAGCCAATCAAAGCGCGAGCATACGAGTAGCGTCACGATGCTGGTGGCGCCATCTCCCTGTCGCCGCTCCCATCAACCGTGGTCCAAGGCTCCAGGCGAGTCGGTGGAGCGGTGCGAGCGCGGATTTGCTAACATCGCCGACTGCGGTGGCGTGAGAAACATCAAGTACATTTCCCCGGCGACGTGATATTATTCCGGATTGAAGGAAGTGATGCTTGAAGTGTGCCTTTTCTGCACGACAACGCTCGTTTTGAAACCACTAGGTGAGATCGGAGATCGTGAGCAGCGATGCAAGGTCATTTCGCAGGTAAACACAGCTACCGGCGTCTCTGCGCTGGCTTGCTTCGCTTCCACCTTTGCTCTTCACTTCGATGGCATCGATACAGTAATAATGTATGCTAACGCATTACATACGAGCGCAATGCTTGATAGTGTTGTCAAAAACATGTGCTCGATGACGAGCTCGCATGTGAACGGCGTAGGCGACGGCCGGCGCCCGCTATGCTAGGCCTACCTGTCGGAGTCGTGAATAATCAGCTGTTGCCGTGGTTACGACGAGCTTGTCGTTCACGAATGCGACTTATTAATTATTTTTATAGAACGAAGCGTGGCTGTGTAATGTTGTTTGTTTTGAGCCTCATCACGAGGATACCTAGTCGTTCGACCCTGCATGCCGAGGCGCCGCATGGGGGTGGAGCCAGCCGCTGATAGCTCCTTTGCCCTCGTGTGTCCCGAAACGTCGCATGCGGCACGCCGCACCATGCGACGCCGCATCGCACTAAAAATCACACGTCTGTCTCGCGCTTAAGCGGAGCGCGGTGCGTCGCTGCCGTTTTTGCAAGCGGAAGGGGGACAACGCGCGCGTCCTCTCTCGTGCGTGCAGCAACTTTGCTCATTTCAAAATGGCTGCCTCCGGAGATGGCACGCTTTCCGCGAGTGCTGCAGCTTCGCCGTCGCCTGCCCAGCGCAAGCCGCGAAAACACAGTTTCAACGGTGAAAAAATAAAAACGCCGCCACCACACACGCGTCAAAAGCGCAAACAACACACAGTGAATGCTTGCAATGGATCTGGAACGGAACCTTGCTGGCTTTTGAGCGGCTACTATCAAGTCAGAGCTTGCTTCTTTGTCAAAAAAACAGGCGGTTAATACATTGAAAGTAGATTTCTAAATACTTCGTGAAAAAATAATTTATACGTTA